TTTCAGTAACATTTTTCAACAGAGCCTCATTGTGCAAGAGAAGGGGTTAATGTTAGTCAATAAAAATGTAATTGTTCATTGGTTGTTCACATTAGTTCACAGCGCATTAACTAATGTCAACAGATACAGCTTTTGATTTAAAAAAATGAATTAGTAAAGCTCGAAGTACCGTTCGCTACTAGTTCATGTTAACTAATGTAGTTGACAACTGTTAACAATTGTAACCTTATAGTAAAGTGTTACCCATTTTTCTTTTATTCAGTTGTTTTTAATTTATTACATTTCTTAAGTATGTATTATGTATATATGTGTGATCTGTTTCATGTGTATTATGTAATTGTGTCAAGCTACTGCAAAAATTGACTTGCATATCTTACCTTCAGGTTTATTACTTGAGTTGCATGTTGAGTGATGCTGCTGCTTTGCCTCACCTCAGGAAAAGATGCCTATCCCTTCTGTTGTTATTGAGCCTGCCTCCAGTAATGAGGGTGATGATGACCGTGATGGTGATATCATATCTCCAATAGCAACCAGTGACAATGGGGTGATCACAGAATGCCAGACAACCAAAGACATCTCCTCTGGAATGCCTCCTGGATACCTTTTCAGGGTGAATATAAAGCAAACACTATTTAAGTAAAAGATAAACTACAGTCGTACATTTATTTTGCAATATTACCTGCTGACTGTACATTATTCTGCGGATACTCGCCAAATAAAGAAACATGTGGTCATAAAATATTGATCCGTAAGTCTAATGTGCAAGACTTCCGATTCATTAGTCACTGTAACTAAAAGAATGCAAAATGCAGTAAACAGTGAAATCATTTGTTCCACAAATCATTGTTTCTGATTATAAATTAAAATAATATGGTAACAAATACCAATTTGTAACATCAAGCAGTATAATAAACTGTTTTTGTAGAGCTACAGTAACTGGAAACGGCTGAAACTGGAAGCCTTGCACATTGAACTTAAAAATTACCGTGCACGTAATTACCTTAAATATAATGTGGATATACAGTACAGTAACCTTAAAGCTTTCTCTAAGAAAAATAGCCCATTACAGTGTACAAAACATTCAGCCTAGCAACAAGACGAACAAATTCCTATGCTGTCCTGCAGGTTGAAATGATGCATGATTTTGAAGCAGCAAACCCAGACGAACTGGAGCTGAAGAAAGGAGACATAGTTTTGGTAGTACCCACAGAGCTAGCTGAAGATCAGGTATGATTGGTCTTGAATGTTTAACTTTTGTTTTATTCACTTTTCTTATTATAATCATAATGTGATTTTGATGCTCATTTTGTTCTTTCTTCAGGATGCTGGTTGGCTCACTGGCATCAGAGAGAGCGACTGGCTACAGCTTGGCACTTCGGCTCAGAAAGGACTGTTTCCTGAAAACTTTATGCAGCGTCTGGAGTAAATGACCTCAGTGTGTCGTGAGAAGGCACGTGGATCTGGACGTTTGCAGACAGAGCCACTCACCATGAAGTCTAAAGTACTGATGACAGCTGTCAATCAGACTAGGCAAATACCACATAAGAGGAAATAACACCATCGACTAAACGAAGCAAGAGGAGACACAAATACCTACTCGGAGCATAAAGAAAATAACCAAGCATGATGTGATAGTATGGTCAACCTTTTCTCGCAAAACCTAGATAAAATCCCTGTTTTTTGTTTGTTTACCTGTGAGCAGCAACGAATTGATGTGTGCTTTGTTGGAACTCTGGTGACCTCCACATGTAATCCCTGTCTGTCTAAAGAACTAAAGTGAAAGTTTCCCCTCTAAAGACAAAAAAGTTACCTTATCCTCTCTGCACCAAGTGTATTGTATTGACTTTGTTGCTCTGCAGCGAATTTTATCAGAATTTGTAGTGATATGATCTATTTAATCATTCTAAGTGTTACACGAAACTTAGGTGTTTTCTTTGAGATATTTCAGATATAAATGTGACATTGCATCAACGTTAGTGTTCTCTGTAGTTTCACGGCTGGCCGTGCGCGGCTATGGTGGTGGTATTTGGCATATATTTGATATTGACTGTTTATGGCCGAGACTTTCAGTGTTTATGCCAAATTAACCAAAGTCCGCTTGATGAATATGAATATGTGTTGAGTTCCTACAGCATGACAAATGTTGTGAGAAGAAATCTGAAATATTACACCTGGCTAATACAGCTTTGCAAAACACAAAATGTAGCTCCCTATAATTACAGGCATTATGTGTATTATATTCACAAGGACATAAATGCAGAACTTATCCTCGAATGGACGTGGAAATATTAATTTGTGAATGATGTTTTATGTTTGGAGAAATTGTAAGTATTCAACTTTATATTTTTTAGCCAATGATGAGTGGGAAAGTTGGGGGCGGGAAATCTAAAAAAAATATGCAATATATGTAATTGGTTGATAGAGTAATCATTGTCTTCATCGTTTGGTTCTGAGACAAAAAACAGCATCACTCTTGTGTTCGTATTGTTAGCCTCACTGTAGAACATTTCTGTGATGTACATATCTGTGCTAATTAACTGTAAAGTGAATAAAGAATAGTTCATATGAGTCGTGGTTCATTTTCACGAATGGAAACAGCATCAGTATAAATACAATGTATACATACTGCTAATAGGCCAACAAATGAAATATCCCGTGTTCTATAATCACTGGTCAGGGTAGAGCGTTTAAAAGCACTTTCAGTGTAGTTAAAGGGATAATTCACTGTCAGTTTCTGGTCCCCATTGAAGTCGATGGGGACCAGCAACTGAAGTTGAACTATCCCTTTAAGTACAGTATCATTTTTATATTTGTTTGTTATGACACGCAAATAACGCAAGGGGGAGACGTTTATTTTCTACATTTCTCCTTTCCAGTGAACTTTTGCGTTAGCAATGTGAAGCTGCTTTCATTCATTTTAAAGAAAGGCACTTACAGTAAGGTTTTATTTGTTAAATACATTAGTTACCATGAAATAACAATGAATAATACTTTTACAGCATCTTTTAATCTAAGTTGATGTTAATTTCATCATTTACATTTTTTAAATAAAAAGTTGAAGACAGTCTATTAATTGAAAGTAACATATGAACAACAATGAACTCTGTATTTTTATTATTTAACATCAAAAAATAATAATAAATGCTAAATATATTGAGGCATTATTATAAAGTTTCAGCAAAATCTGTTATCGACTTAAATGTGTATAACTGTCCACACATTGTGATATTTTAAGAATCCTGTCCATAAAATACACTACAGATAAGCAATTGGACTAAATGTATGAGTGTTAGACTTTTTATTTTAATTTTATTGTTTATATATATATATATATATATATATATATATATATATATATATATATATATATATATATATATATAAAA